ATATGGGTTTTGGGCTAAAATTTTTTTTTTTACAGTAGGTGTCTATGATTTGTTGGCGATAAATTCAAAAATACACGAACAGCACTCACTCCACTTATTTCCAAAATAATACATATATTTGAACAAGTTAAACATATTTACAGAAATTTCTTACACAACAGAGATCGTAGGTATATTATAAACACTATATAGTTCTCTTCTTGTTGTCAAAAGTCCACTTAGACCTATTCAATTGCTTTAGAATTTCAGATAACAAGCCAAACTACTTTTCTCTATTTCTAACAGTTGTATACTGCTCTTCGTACTTCAAATATCGTCTGCCTTTTGTCAAAATGCACTCAGGTTTGTCCAGTTACTTTAGAACACCCTTTCACGAGACAAACTATCCTTCTTATCGTTTTTAACAACTGTTTAACCGTTAAGCCTTTCACTTCTGTGGTAGTTAACTTTACTTTGCCCGAACTACTTCCCCCTGACTTTACTCTCTCTTCTATTATCGTTTATTGTGTATATTTTTCCCGCTCATCTCACACTCTATATGTTTGTTACTTAATCGTCTGCTCGCTATATCCTCGGCATCATTAAATTTTACGCGACATTCTATAATCTCAATATCAGTAGTTATAAACACAACATACGACTTTTACCAATTTACGTAACTAAACTTGTCATAACATTTACTTTAAAATAACTGCTTCTAACTCTCTTGTTATGAACAAAACTAAACAATCATAAAATAAATTAATCAATAACATCTACACTAAACAGTCTTTTATATCTACACACTTTGTGCAAGATCAAGCAATGTCACTAACTTAGAAAAAAGTTGTGAAATTATTCGTTCAGGGACTTTGATGATAGTTTCAATAATTTGTTTGAATGCTTTTCTCGAGGAATTTGGGTATACATATTTTGTGTCAAAGCAAGTCAGTTTAGTTTTATGATATAATTTATTCAAGAATTGAAGAAAATGGGATGTGTTTTCAGAGGTGTTGTATGGTAAGATGATCCAAGTAAGAAAGATGCCATGGTTATAGGTGATAGTGGAAGAAGTGGTCATTATAAAACGAATTTTGAGCGATGTTTAATGCCCCATTATTAACCATAGAATTACAATTTTATTTTTTTGCTACAATGTAACATGTTGCTTATTTGCTGACTAATGCATTGCTTTATGAGCTTAAACGTCGTAAGGAGTATAAAACACATAGTGACATCCTGTACCACAAGAGGAAGGCTTTCAGTATTTCCATACGCAGTCCTGTACATTGGATTAGGCATGATGTTTTTGTGGTTTCAATTATGACTTAGAGAAACAACATCTACTTCACCACCGGAGATTATGAGAATGTTTCCACAAAGTTTTTGAATGTTTGCATCATTAGGAAATCAAATGGATTTGACATTTGTATTTATTAGAAAACCAATGCAGTCATAACAATATGTTGAATTGAAGTTTAAGATTCAAATCGCACTTGATATGTGTACCCCAACAATTTAAGCTGTGAATTAAGAAAAATATCTGGGATTTTCATGCATGAAAATGGTTACCCCCAAGGAAAAGCTTAAAAGACAATCAGTCAACCATAAACAAATAAACCACGAGATGTGTGGTATTTTCCAGATTAAGTCAGTTATGGCCCACTAACCGAAGTTCTTAATAATAGCGAGTAATAAAGTGTGCTTCCCCTCAAATTCGAACCCAGTTCGTTGTGCAAAAATAGAAAGGGAGGAAAAAAGGCACAAATTACAAAAATGTTTACTCAGTACAAAAACAAAACAATGCAGCAAATGGTTAGAGCGATATGGAGACTATTTAAAAGCTCATATCAACTAAGTGTGTACTCCTGTATATCGAATTAAAATCTTAAATTAGAAATAAAAATAAAATAAAAAAGACGCTGCAGCTTAAAGTTACTTCTACACAAAGCTAAACCAAAATCACAACTCTAGTGACAACAATAGAAAAAACTGCTTAAATTTTATTTAACTAAGCTACAATAGCAATAATCGAAGCTCAAAACTAAAGTAACAACAAAGCTCGTGCTCATTTTAAACGTTAATTCATAACGTTGCCATTAATGGACAAAGTCTCAAAAATTACATTAAAGGTTACAACAATCCAAAACGAAAGTTAAGTGAAAGTACATTGAGAGCTACAAAAGTTACTGAAAATTAAAGTTATTAAAAGCTTTCTATGAGTTTATGCGTTATACTTACAAGATTCCTAGAACACTTGAAAATCTATAATTTTGTCTATCAGGAGCAAACCTTGCTTTCAATACCAAAATAAAATAAACAAACAAAACTATGTTTGCACATGAAATACATCTCACATTCAAGATACGTGTCCACTAAGATTCAAGCTCAAGGGCGTAGCTGCCCTCGAACTTATCGGGTTCATTGACAGGAAAAATAATATTATCTCTGGATGTCAGGTGCTGTCTTTTTTGCTAAATTTGAAACCATATTTTGTATGCTTTCAAAACAGCGAAAATTAAAATGTTACTTGAGCAATCTTGGCATTGAAACTGACAACTCTGAAAAACATAATTTTGAAAATACCTCTTAACTAAGGGAGTAGTAGGTGCATAGTACTGTCCTGTACCATACCTTCTCACCGTTTTACATCCAGTCTTACCCAACCATCACTAAAACCAGAACAAACAAACAAAAAAGAAAACAAATCTAATTTTAAGTTTGTGTTGCTCAAGCAACAGCACAACTCACTTTGTTTCCAGTAAAACCACTTGTTAACAATACTAACAAACAGAAAAGCAAAAGCAGCTTTACAAAAATAAAAATGTGGAACTCACCTACCCCCCTTTAGTAGAAGGTAGTCTAGCAGACTACACATCACCTTAAAGAAAAATTCATTAAACGCAGACCTTTAACAAAGAGTGCCTAACCCCTTGAGGAAGGAATAGTCTGACAAGTTACACATAATTACAAGAATACAAAATTAAAAAACCCTTTAACAGTGCAACATATTCAATATCCTTTTCAACATTGAGGAACAAGAAAAACAAAAACTTAAAACAATTAATGTATCCCTTTAAATACCTTAAGCAAAGAAAGTCTGAAGTGTTTCAGGCAGATAACTGCCTGGAATGAATAACTCGGGAACAAGCTGTCCAACATCTGATTCTGAGTTCAAAATCTTTGATGCCATCAGACACTTGGACTAGAAGTAGTAAGAGAACTGTGATGCTTTCATCTAAGAGTTCCCTCGCTGATTCAACCCAATGAAGGTTTGAGGTATCCATCAGGCCACATTCAATGCTTAAGAAAGGACCAGCACCAAGGGTCTTGCTGCATATAATGGTTGATCACAGTTGACTGCATGGGAAGGCCTATCCTACAGTGCCATCCACAGGTTTGGAGAACATACTTGTGAATACACTGATTGAAGGTCTTCCCAGTGAACTCATGAGGCAACGCATGCATGCAAGATACATCCTCAAATTAACTGAGACAGTTTCCATCACAATACAATGTGAAGTGGTAACTTTGTGCCAATTATTGGAGAGGTAAAAGCCTGCAATGAAAGCTGTAGTGGTTATACTCAGATGGACAAATCTATTCAAGCACCACCATTTTGTTTAAGTAGACTTGTACCAAGGGTTAACTAGCCACCCACACATCCTGGCACTGATCTCAACCACACGAGTTTCCAGTGAATGATCAGGGCTATCGAGGGCTGCTCATGGGGTATATACAACTGCTAGGACATCATCCAAGATGGAAAGAGTAAAACCATCAGTTTTATTTGTGAGCTGGTGGGGAACTGGCATAGGAACTACCCATACTTTGATGAGTAGCATAAATGATAGGGAAATTGGTTCAGCAGATGCCAGCCAACTCACAATGAGAGTTTCTTTCCAAGCAGCAAAATAAACAAGGTTATTGGTACTGACCTTATGAAGATATTCAACAAGTGGTGAATACTGTGACAAATCCTCTTGGAAACTGATTTAACCCAAACCAGATATGGTTACTGGTCTGGTGGTACACAACAGACTGCTTGCACTGTGTAACTTAGTGGTCAGTGTTAGTGTAATCAATTTGTTTATGATTTTTCTGTCAATAACAACTTGAACAATCCAACATTTCATGACTACACACTTTAAAATACCATAAACACTATGTATATTTTAGTACTCAAATATCAAGTTTGAAGAATCAATTCAGAGCTTTCAAATTAAAGGAATTTATACATAAGGGTCATGGTTATTTGTCTCACATTCTTCACCTTTCCTCATTTCCATGTACCAGTAGAATTAAACAAAACTAATGATGATGATGAATGAACCCAAGATATAACTACTTGTACATAACTAGTAATATAAGAAAGGTAGATTGTCAAGTATATGGGCCTCCTTTTGTTACTTTACCCTCAATGTTATTACTTTCATTGATTTCAAAACAATGGAATAAAAATTACATTTGTAGCAATATTGACACAACTACAGAAAAGACAGGCATTTTGAAGTTTATTTTAGAAACACTTCTATCATTTTTTTTTATACAAGGTTGTAGGGCATGATAACAAAAATACGCACAGCCATCATCACAACTTCTTCAAAGAAGGTAAATATGCAAATGTGAAATATTTATTAATTCTAGGTTTTACACAGTTTTGCTTATTTATTTATATATTTTTAAAATCATTTATCAGATGAGACTCAATAAAATTTACTAGTAGCAAGTACCAATACCATACACTTTTTCTTAAAATACCACTCAATAATAATTTGATATATCAAATATGGCGACATTCTTTAGTTTCTTTCAAAATATAAAATAGCAAGTTTCCAGAAACTTACTGTAATGTTTGTTCAACAAATATACAATGAAAGTACAACTTGAAAAAAATTTATAAAACATTCTACAGAACATGGCTCCATATGCTGACACTCACAAATTCAATGGAAGAAAAATGTTTCTCAAATTCTTATGTGATATAAAAATGCATTTAAAATTTTAAGACTTTCAGTGACAAATTCATCACCATAATACTAAATTTTTACCACTGTAAATACAGCTCAAGTGCTAAATTCTTTGCACTGTGAGCCAACTGTAACAGGAAGTTCTACAAATTAGCGAGTGTAGCAACTAATGCATTCCAATTTCTCACTTTGAAAAAATTGTAATCATAACTATATTCATCCTCAATACACCTTATTTCAGTTTCAAATGTAGACCAAAATACATGCCAGATTTTGAAACACTGCTATAAACAGTTTCCTTTTACAAGTGTTCTTCCAAGAGCAACATTTCATCAAACAAGGAATTGTAATAATTATGATATATAACTAGTTACAGATAAAGTAGTACTGTTTATTTTGTCCAATGATTTTTGTTTTTGTTTACATTGATACATAACTTCATTACTTGCAGAATTGACTTTTTATGAACCATGCCACGAATATTCTGAATTATACAAATAACCCAAAAATTACAGAATTCATATCTTTCAAAGTCCAAAATTTAGCACATTTTACAACAATCCTTCTACAATTCAATTTATTGTTTGTTTTATTTTTAAAAAATCATTACAAAATTAATAAATTTTATTTGCCCAAAACCATACAATAAATAAAAAAAAGAGAGAATATATAAACTATAATTATAGTTCTGCTTTCATCAAAATTTGATTATATCATGAATCTTTTCATGATTAAATTCAAAATCAACATTTAAGATATTATAAAATACTGCTTGGAATCCTCTAAATTTAAATGTTAAACACCTTCTCAAAAATGGAATTGTTAATGTATTATATGATACTGACATAACTTCAAATTTTTCATAAGGAAGATACTTAAAATACTTAGAAATAGATGTGATGTGTTCACAATAAAAAATTAAGAACACTTTTAATCTCTATGCTATCAAACATAAATATCTTTCTGTAGTTTGCCACATGGTACCGTAAAAAGGTTGTTATACATGTATAAATTTTCTTCTCCAAGTCCATATACCATTTTGTTTATGAAACCACATCGTACACCTTGTATTTGTCATCAAAGAAATATTACAACTGTACGTGATTAAACAATGTTGTTGTTTTTTCAGACAGCTTCAATGCAAATTATTCCGTAAATCAAGATTTGTTTCCCAGAACGTCTTATTTTCCTGCCTTTGTGGATTCTTTTACTACAAAATGAAAAATATATTAGTTAAATATACTTCTAAAACATAAAACAAAAACACTGGTGTTTGCATCTGTCTTAATAAGCACGTGAATCTCCTACTCGGATGATTTTTCTCATTATATTGATGGCTTCTCTAACATCATACGATGCTTGTTCTAACACCATAAACTGCCTATTATTCTAACACCATAAACTGCTTGCTATCCTAATCTCAGAAATTACATGCTATCCTAATCTCAGTGTGATAAAATATCTCAATGGGTTAATATGAAATATATCATAATATAAATAAATCACTGAGCTGAAGTCTCAATTAAAGAGTCAATACAAAGTCTTGTACAATGAAGAGAAAATATAAATAAGTTAAAACAACACAAAATTACTTCAGTACATTTAAAGTATTATTTCTCTGTCTTTAGACAGCATACATCTTGATGCACACAACCAGGAAAAAAAAAAGAGTTAACTGAATTTTTTAAAACAGATTTTTCTTTTATTTATCATCAAAGGAATAACAATAATAAATATGACACACTATTAACTACCATATGAGATACCGAAAAAATAAGAATTAGGCTTAAAGTGACATAAATCACTCAAAAAATTCTAAATACCTGTGACCAAATAGTGTTATAAGTTTAGCCATACTAAACTACTTAAGGTAAATCTGTGGTGATCGGGAATCAACTGTTGTCATGGTTAGTAGTCTGTATGATCATGTAAATCTAATTATTAACTAGTGATCGGGTATCAATTGTTGTCATGGTTAGTAGTCTATATGATCACATAAATCTAATTATTAACTTGTGATCGGGTATCAATTGTTGTCATGGTTAGTAGTCTGTATGATCATGTAAATCTAATTATTAACTAGTGACCGGGTATCAATTGTTGTCATGGTTAGTAGTCTATATGATCACATAAATATAATTATTAACTAGTGATCGGTTATCAATTGTTGTCATGGTTAGTAGTCTATATGATCACATAAATCTAATTATTAACTTGTGTTCGAGTATCAATTGTTGTCATGGTTAGTAGTCTATATGATTACACAAATATAATTATTAACTAGTATATATTTTTATAACTAGATACTTATTACAAACTAATTCAAAAATGCAATAACAGCAACTTTTACAGTAAGCAAATTCTAATTTTAATTACTACAACGCTTCGACCCACAGTATCAGGTCATCATCAGGTAACAGTTACGTTCAATAAAACACTGAATTTTAAAGAATGTTACAGACTCGCGAGGGTGAGGAGAAGGTTTGTAAGTGGCATTAAATTAGGATTTTAGTAAAATGCAGTGAATAAGATATTAATATAGATAAAGAAGGTTTTCTGGATATTTATTTAGCATTGGCTCTAATGACTTTAATAATAATTCTTCAGCTATTTTTCTTCTGTCAATGTCTGGTTCTCTTCAGATGATTTCTACATTATTTTAAGTGTTGTTTGGTTTCTCTGAGATGTTCAAACACATGTGAGGGTTTGTTTGTTTTGAATTTCGCACAAAGCTACACGAGGGCTATCTTTGCTAGCCATCCCTAATTTAACAGTGTAAGACTAGAGGGAAGGCAGCTAGTCATCACCACCCACCGCCAACTCCTGGGATAGTGGGATTGACCGTCACATGATAATGCCCCTACGGCTGAAAGAGCGAGTATGTTTGGTGTAACGGGGACTCAAACCTGTAACCCTTAAATTGTGAGTTGAGTGCCCTAACCATCTGGCCATGCCGGGCAACATTCAAGGGTTCTTTAAGATGTTCCCTAAGACTGATATTCATTTCTCTCCCAGTTTTTCCAATATAAAAATGTTTACAAGAGCTGCACTTGATTTTGTAGATGATTCCATTGTGTTTATTCTCAGTGGGGTAATTGTTAGTAACAAGGTTCTTAATTTTAGTTCATAGATTAAGGTATTTATAGTGACATTGTGTTTCTTCATGAGTTGTTTTGATAACCCAATTAGGTTTTTGCCGTGTTTGAAATAAGGAACTGTAGTGATGACAAAGGTGAAGTTGTTTTCATCTTTGAGATTTTTATGCTTTTTGTTTCTTTGACATTTTTGTTTTTTGGATGTGTTGATTATTCTTTTAACGACTTCTACCCAATATTGTTTTAACGAAGATTTCAGATATTCGTAGTAATTCATTGTCTAAATATTTGCAGAACATATAATAAATTATTTTTGAATAATACACTTCAAAGTTTCTAGTGTCTCATTGTATGGGGAGTGCAAATTTCCAATGAACACACAGTTACTTACATCAGATCAATGTTGACATTATCATCAGACTGACATCCAAAGACAAATGCCAACAGAATTTATTCATGTTTAGTTCAGGAATATTTGGACAATTCTAAAGACTTCAAGAAATATGAATTTTAGTGCCACTGGAGATACTGTGTTTGTATTTTGAAATGATAAGTTTTGCAAAAAAGAAAAAAGTAGCCTGTCTACTTTAAATATACCTGTCCAAGCATATATAACTCCCACAGAGTTTAAGGTTCTACTCAGTGATAAAACCCATGGTCCTGATACACTGAAGTAAGAGCTAATAAACCTAATCTCCACAAAGACTAGTTGTTCTACACAACTCAGAATTTCAAAATTCATCTGCTTTACCTACATCTATGTTTTAGAGCATAAAACATTTTATAAACTTTTCAGGATAAAAAAAACATTAAAGTTTACAAATATTAATACCTAAAAACAAGTTAACTCTTTCGAACCTCAATACAGACATGACAAAAAACAAACATTACAACTGAATCTGACCGAATTCATATGAATGACGATACATTACAAATTCGAGTTCATTTGGCAAGACTTGAAAAGGTTGTCTGCCAATACAAAGAGAAATGAACCTATGTAACATATAACTTCCATAACTATTTTAAATTTATTTTGTATCAGTTGCAGCAACATGGTCTGTTTACTATTAAATCTAAAAATAACTTACAAGTGATTCACAAATGTCATTTTTTGAATATTCAAAGAGATGTTGAAATAAAAGAAGTTTGTAACCTAACTTTTACAAAGAGTATAATGAATACATCAATTCTGGTAATGTACAGTATTCATACTAAATTTACACTTTTTTTAATGCAAACTAACAAACTTTAGCTACTGAAATCTTCAGTTAAAAGTTAACTCAAGCATTTTTTTTACCAAAGCATATATATATTTTTTTCACAAAAACCTTTAAAGTTTATTCACTTCTATCAATCGATCATACCTTTCCTTGCTTCGTCTCTCTTTTTTGCTGCTTCCTCTCGCTGTTTCCGAATCAAGGCAAGTCTAGCAAGGTCTGACTGAGCTTCTTGAGTTTTTCCTGCAGCATGTAGCTTCATATAGTTAGCTTTAGCTTTCTGATGTTCTATTTCTTCCCTAAAGATCACAGAACTAATTGTAACTTCACAAAAGAAAGTGTAAATATTACTTAAGGGGTGTGAAATTGTTTTTGCTATACTAGCCCCAAAATGAATTTCTGCTAACCCAACTATTTTTTTCTCACTATCATAAATATATGCATATCTATATTCATTAGAGTGACTGCTTCCACAGTACTAAAAACTAAAACTTAATGTGTTGCAAATATATACATACATTATTATTTTTAGAATGACTTCTTTTGCTGCATTATGAAAGTATGTTAAATGTAAAACACATTAATTGGAAAGAAAATTAGAAACATTAAAATATACATATATCATTCTTCTTCAGTTTTTATACATTTTTTAATAATTATTTTTATTCTCACAGATACATGCTTTGCTATCAACTAGAACAACTTACAGTTTACAAGTGTAGATTCAGACACTCTTCAAATACATATATATTTCATATTTGTATTAATTCCACACACTTGACAGAAAATAAAAAGACTTAATTTATACATCATTTTTAATACTTTTTCTTAAATTTGGCAGGTATGTGAATCAAGTGCTACAAACTGGAGCCTTTTTCAGTTTCATTAGACTCAGACAAGACATTCAGAACACTTCACCCATTTATGTCGTACCTAGAAAAAAGGTCACAGAGTTCCAAGTGATCTACCAGTTCACTGATTTTATCCAACATATGTACAGTTTCTGTCATTATTTTGCCTCAGGTACTGTATAAATGAGCCTTTCAAAGTATATTATTGTTTCATGACAATGTCTCAAATCATCAAAGCCCCATTAATTTTCTATATGTAGATGCATACAGACAGCTCTGTACGAGTTCTTCCCTGCAAATCACACACACACACACATATTATTTTGGATGTTCATTAATATCCATTATATTTGGATATATCAAAACGTAAAATGCAAAGAGTAATGAACGATAAAGGTAAGAGACCCATAGAGTAAAACTTCGAAACCCTGTTTCGTAAAAACTAATCAGACTGTCAAACACCCAAAGGATATACAAGACAATAGCAAAAAACAATTCTTACCTTTCTCTCCGAGAAAGCTGAGGAGCTTCTTCTGTAACATAACTCTCACTCTTAAGAGGCTTTTTCTTAACAGCTCGGTTAGGATTCTCAACCTCAATCAGATGTTCTATCCCTTTAACTTTTGTCTAAGAAAAAACCATAAGGAAAATTGTTTTTATCCATTTACTGGTCTACAGGATCTTCAGGCCACAGAATAAAATAAAATAAATCACACCAAACTATAATGAGATTTAATATAAACATTCATTTTACTCACATTCACATCAATCAATATATTCAAACTATAATGGGATACGTGTAAACACTTTCATAACTGATAAATTTTTTAAAGGAGAATATAATCTCAAAATACATAAAAACTTGATTTACAAGAACTTTCATGAATATCCAAACATTGTTCCTACACAACTACAGCAGAATACATCGTATTTCAGTCGAACAAATTCCAAACATACGTTCCACATTGTGAGAATAAAACCATACATATATATATAACTTTTTATGTAATGCAATATTAGTACTGTTCATATCTTAAAATTATATAATGGCTGAAAAACTCCCACCTTTAACTAAGCTATTTTGTTTTTTGCAAAACCTCCACCTATACCTTCTCTTCTTACAGATTTAAAACAGACAAGGAACGGTAGAGCTAACAGAACCCAAAACCCATTAACTTGAGAAAACATAACTTTTTTTTAGGATTAAGATGATTTTGAAATAGATAATTATTATTTTTGAATAAGAAAAACGTTTCTCTAACATTTTTGTTATTCTAAGCTAAACTCCTAACACCAAGTGAGATCATAAATAGATTTTCATTCACTGGATCTTCTGATTACAAATATTCATTCATTAATAGCTTTCTCTGTGGTAAATTTGCACATACTTAGTTTAAATATAGTTTATATCCACTCTCATAGGTCATAATTCTATTAGATTCAAAAATTTGAAAGTGGAGCAAAGGAGAGGAATGAGTATAAACAGAAATAAGTATTTACTTAAATTCAATTATAAAAATGTTAGGAGTGAGTATAAACAGAGATAAGTATTTCCTTAAATTCAATTATAAAAATGCTAACTTTCCTCCCTATGTTAAAACAGCCAAATGAGATCCAAAGGAACAGGAGGCAGTATCCTTCTCATACAAAAGTGAAAATTAGAGTGATTAATTTAAATATAATTTATTACCTATGAGCAGCAATCAGATCAATTAGTGTCACATAAACTAACTGATTAACTGAAATTACAACTAAATCAATTAATCAAAATTCTGTTTACATTGACTGTTATGAAAATGATCAACTAATTGCAGTTAGTGTTTCCAATTATTACTTATTAATTAAGTAATCAAACATTGCACCTAGCTTGCTTACAATGTCTTTGTTATAGCAAAGGTAGTAAAGCTATCTACTGCTAGATGGAAGACAAATGTTTGGCAACTTATTTTTTTATATATATGAATCTGTAAATTATTAATGGGGCAATTAGCTGGTAGTCCAAAATCCTACACTTATTGCCAAGCAGAAGTTATTCTGCTTGACACAGTTACAATAGTATTTTAGGATGTGTAGAGGCTGTATATCTATCATTAAAAAAACTTCACTTTACCGAAACTGCTACAAGCTAAAATGGACAGCAAAAATGAGACTTTGTTACTTCTTGCCTAGTATTCCAAATTTACATTTTAAATCAATTTTTTAAATATTAGGTCGTCAAGAAATTAATGTCGCGTTTTGGAACACTTTCATTCACCACCTCCCAAAAAATGTACATCACGTTACTGTAGCCTATATAATGTGTAAAGTTTAGTATGCTCTAATTTTTTTATAGAGATGGCACACAATGAGACACACATTTGGCATGTAATGCTGTTTGAATACAAGAAGGGAAACAATGCCTCTGTAGCCACAAAGAATATCAAAGAAGTTTATGGAAATGTTTTGAACATTCGTAAGTGTCAACGATGGTTCAACAAATTTTATTCAGGTGACTTTAGCCTTAAAAACTGTGATGGCAGAGGCCAACATGTTGGAATTGATATTGATGCTCTGAAGATGCTTGTTGAGTTTAACCCTAGGCAACACACTCGTGAAATGGCCCTAAAATTGCATGTCTCTCATGAAACAATACGTAAACATCTTAGGAATATGGGAAAACTCCTTAAAGAAGGCACATTTGACACAATACTAGATTATGGAGTTGGGTTGGGAAGTTCTCCCCCCACCCGCCATATTTTCCAGATATGGCACCATCAGGTTACCATCTTTTTCATTATCTGCAACACCATTTTAATGGGTAAATATATATACAAATGTGGAAGGTGTTAAAGAGAACATAGACATGTTTTTTGCTTCAAAGCCAAGTGATTGCTTTAATCAGGGCATTTACAACCTGATTGTAAGATGGAAAAGCATCATTGATAAGAATGGAGACTATTTCATTTAATAAATATTTTGTTTTGATATACAAGTTGTTAGGGTTTTTTCTTCTAAAAAATAGTGACATTAATTTCTTGATGACCTAATATTTTGTACACAGAGAATGACATTCTAATTACATCTTACTAATAAAAATGTTATTTATCTATAGTAGTCATTTGCATTTCAAACTGTTAAAATAGTTCAAGTGCAAGGTGATTTTGATTTTAAGTACAAAAATACTTTTCTTCGTCTTACAGTTTTCATATTTCATTTGCATAATCTTTAGAACCTCGAAAGAGGATATCAAAAGTTTTTAAGGTAAATTTTTTTTTTATTTTCATATTTCTCTACCATTTAGGTATTATCATCAGTGTATAATGCAATGAAAGAATTAAAATTAGGAAATAGAAAAAAAAATATCTTTCAATTTTTTGTAGAATAATTTTAAAGATTTTACTTTTGTTAAATCGTAATTTCAGGTCTTTTCCGTCTCACATATAGTTAATTTTAATTGATTTATTATCCTTTCTTGTACTTTACCACTTAACTCTCTCAATACAGGCTTGGTTGATTTGACCAACAATGTGACCTCTTTGTACTCGTTTAAAATCTTTCTAGATTTCATACTACTAACTTTTAACATAGTTTGT